CATGGATTTCACAATATTTGTATATATTTATTTTTTAATGACTGATTTTTGTGGTGACTTTTGTCAATCACATTTACCATATTATGTATTAGGCTCAAGCGGCAACTAGGGCTGTGCGATTAATCGAATCGAAATCGCGATTTGAGACGTTGCGATTTCCTAATAATGAATAAATCAATGTAATACTTTAATAATTGACTTAGAAAATATTTTTTTATAAATAAAGAACTGTATTTCTTGTTAAATTCAGTAATTAAGTTAATTCTGTAAAAGTAGTTATACCATTATAATCTTGCCTGCTGAAGAAAAAAAACAATAGAACCCCTCCCAAAACACAATAACAAATTTAATGGATTTCAGGGTTATAATGGGAATTGTATTGGTTTTAATGTAAACTATAATGGTGTCTATTTGATGGATTCTATTGGTGGGATGTAATCTGACAGATGGCAACCAATAGAACAACAGTAATTCCTATTGGAATAATAAAAAAAAAAAACGGAACGGGGGACGGGAGAGAGACAGAGTGGGATTATGGCGTCTACTGGGTCAGATCGATAGTTAGGCATATTAAAACTAAAGAAAACCGTATGCAACTTAAGCTTCGAAATGACAGACGACAAACAAAAAAATTAATTTTCAAGAGCTGCGTCACAGCACATATAAAAAGCTCCCTTATCGGTTCTGTTTTCAGTTCTGGAGAATAAAAGATACATTCTTAGATGTTTTTGTTAGTACGTGGAACGTTATCTTACACATTTTATCTCCCCAACAGATTAATTTGAAATAAGTTTATAATGCATGTTGGCTATTCCCAATTCAGAAGAGCGCACACACAGCCTGTGTCTGTGAATGCTTAAATTTGCAATCGCAATGTCTGTCAAAAAAATTGCAATTTGATATTTTCCCCCAAATCGCACAGTCCTAGCGGCAACCTCCCGCTCTCTCCCTGAAGCCAACAAGGAAGTGACTTAAACTGTAATTCATCAACTGGCCGCTAGAGGCAGGTGGGCGTGGCTTCAGCAACCTGCTCCCGCCTCGTTGCCCATTTTCAATTATCCGGGAGTGATGCGCTGCCAAGATGGCGACGGCCGCCTCCGCCCACTTTTGAGCTTCAAAAACGCTCTTCGGAAATCTACGGGTGACGTCACGGACACAACGTCCATATTTTTATACAGTCTATGATTAGGCTACATTCATTTTGTGTGCACAGTTCTTGACAACTTTTAAATAAGATATTTGTATCTTTTTGTTTTTGTTTTTTTGTGTTTTTTTTTTAAGAACAAAGAAGGAAATTACAAACACTAGAACAAAGAAGTTCATTTTTCAGGTATATTTAGTTTTTAGGTCAAAATACTACAGAAATGTAATCTGTAGTATCCCAATCTTCACTGTATAAATTAAATATACACTGATTCATAGTAAAGCTACAAATGTTATTTTGATTCATTATTTTGTTTCAAATTTCATTGAGTAATTTTTTGTCTTTTGTTTGATTAACATTATTGACACACAGCAGTAGGCTTGTTATGCTGCCATCCAGTTCCAATTATTGTGCTTATATTTTATTTTAACATCCACCATGTCCTGTGCTTTTTCTCATTCATGCATGTTTCTTTGTCACACTAATTTACTCAGTAACTTAAGTACTGCGCTTTTTGCCATTTTATTTGGAAATATACTCATGAAAAACTGGAGGGACTGATATTTGGGTTATTTAAGAGGTTGTTTTCGGTCAACCTTGATGCTATTGAGTCACAGTGTGCCTTTTGCTAGGGCTGCTCAAAGTCTCTGTAACAAACTTTCACAATTTGAGTTTACAAAACTTAATAAAATCAAATTGCTGATGCTAAATATTACAGCATTGATTTCCAAACATTCACAGAATCACACTGCACTCCCAGGCGAGAGGTGGTCTAATGGGCTAGCGGATTAAAAATATGCAATCAGACTGTTTAAAGTCTGGGTAAAACAGGTGAAATAAGTTAGTCTTACGTGGGATGAAGACTTGCATACAAACAAGATAAGGTCGAAGCATCACTGGAAAAAATAATTATTTTTGGTTGGTCTTGTACAGTACATCTATAGTGTGATCGTTGACTAGGGATGGGCATTAATACTCTGACAAATATTCCAACTAAAATGGTAATGAAATGTCATTTCAAAGTTTTTTCCCCCACAACTTTGTCATCTTGTGTTGCAGGACTCATTTACAGGAACCCCTAAAAAGATGATGAAAATTGAGGATACTGAAATGTCATGAGCAACTACACTAAGATCCGAGGATCTATGAGAGAACTCCTGAGCAGCTGAATTGTTTAAATACACTGTTTTCCTTACTGTTTTGAGTGTTATTGTAAAATGCTTTCAACAGGTTCTGGTGTTTTTGTGATAGCACAGGTTTTGACAGCTTCTTAAAGAGAAGTTTTTTTAAAAGAGGTTTTGGAAGTATCACTGAATTCAACATGTTCTTTCCACTTTTTCCTTTTTTGTTTTTTGCAAAAGAAAATATAAATGTGTAAATGTTGTAATTGTTTAATTTTCTATTCTGGTAATCCATTTAGTGCTCAGTGGACATTCTCTTGTATTTATCCGTTTGTTGGATCTCAGAGAGGGTTCACAACAAATTTCCAATGTTGAGTAGTTTTTTGGTTTTAAGTGTTCTTTTAGAATTTTTTTTTTTTTTGGACTTGATAATTTCTGTTTTATTAAGACTCTTTTGAAAATAAATATTAAACTGGAATTCTCAAATAGTTGTCTATTATTTAATATAGAATGCATATAATCACTGAAGAAGCCAAACTTTCAAGACCTTGGAATGAAACAAAATTAAAAGTCCACTTTTTACAATAACCTTTTGGATTACAGTCAAATGGAGCCCTTAAATACAACAAATGTGTAAAACCTAATGTACACTACTGATTAGAGTTTGAAATCATAAGGAAATACTTATTTGGATATGAAATTGGTACTTTTACTTTTTAATGTTACATTGAAGCTCCGTTTTGTCTTCAGTGATGCAAATGACTTTCTCAATATTATTTCATTTCCGGTTTTACAGGGTTAAAATTTAAATTGGAAAAAACCCATCGTTTCATCACAATTTCACCATCCAATTAGGCACATCAACCATAACTCCTTCAAAAACAGCCAGAAACCTTGAAGTTATGATTGATGATCAGCTGTCCGGTCCTGCAGATTTGCTTTATTCAACATCAAGAAGACCAGGCCATTTCTTTCAGAACATGCAACACGCTGTGGCGACCCCTGAAGGGAACAGCCGAAAGGAAAAGAAGTAGAAAATGTTTGCCTACAAAACCCCCACTGGCTCTGCACCCCTTTACCTAAATTCATTACTTCAGACTTATGTGCCCTCTAGAAGCTTGCGTTCTGCAAGTGAACATCGCTTTATTGTGCCATCCCAAAGAAGCACAAAATCACTTTTACGGACTTTTAGCTTGCATTTCAGAAATGAGTACAGCAAACATCAAAAATCAACAAACATGTAATAGTTTAATACTTCATATATCCTCCATAACTTTAAGTATACAACTCTGAACCACCTTGACATTGAATGTACAAGTTCATGACAAATTGTTACATCTATCCTGTTGAACTCCTGGAGGACAACTTCCTTAAATACTTTGTGTTGCTCAACTTGTCTCTTCAAAGTCCCCTACAGATGTTCAAGGGTGTTAAGGTTAGGTGAAATACTTTTGCTCAGAAGGCTTTTCACCTTTGAAGAATATATATAGTGTTTGTCATGTTGAAAAAAATTTTACAGCAACATGAATTTTTAAGTTTTTGTATTACATCACACAATGGTATGTGACTTAATGACACTATTGATAAAGCACAACTCCACACCTTCAGCACTCATACATCCCTATATAAGAACTTAACTACTACTGAACTTCACTAACAGAGTATTGTGGTGGGAACGTACTTCACACTGTATTCCTCTAGCAACGCCATGCCAGTGTGGATGCTGTTAGATCCAAAATGATTGACTTGGTCTTATGGGACCAGAGTATAGTTTCCCAAAAGTCTATATTTTGTAAATATTGGGCCTTAGAAAAAGCTAAATGAGTTTTTTTTGTGCTTTAGCTACAGTAGGTAGTTCCAGCGTGGATATCAACCATGCATTTCACTTCTGCACATTGCATCTTACTGTGTGAGATGAAACCGAAACGATCACTATTTTCATAGCTTTTGCTGGCTCTGAGAGGCTTGGTTTTTCTCCTGCTCTTTTTCTAGCAAAAACAAAAAAATCACATCACAACTTGAAAGCTTGAAGTGAAGGCCTGATTAGATGGCGCCACGTGAGTAGACACACGGACAACCTCAGGTCTCACGCAGTGGCTTGTAGCTACCCTAATGTTTCATTTAAAATAATTTGGCCTAAGCCTCATCTGTCATTCATCAATCGAAATTCATCAATTTTTAGCCTACAAGACCGAAAATTCTATGAGGGATGTAGGCTAGCCTATAATGCAAATGTGAGTAGCCTATAGGCTCATGGTCTTCACACCGATTAACTGATTCAAACAGATCATGCAGATGGATGTAGGCTAGCCTATAATGCAAATGTGAGTAGCCTATAGGCTCATGGTCTTCACACCGATTAACTGTTTCAAACAGATCATGCAGATTGGTAGGTCTATTTTTGTTATTTTCATCGTCGTCATTTGTTATTCTTATTATTAGACTAAGACACACGACCATTTTCTTGACCAAGTCTTCCAGAACAATTTTCACCATGCCTTTAATGTTGACCACATAGGCTATTGATTACAATCTGTTGCTTCCCGACATCCCGTGATGGGACCACGGAATTTAAGAGCTCTTTCATTTGGAAACTTAAACTCTTTTTGAGTTAGGCTACAATAGCAATTTGATAGTAACGTTAGGCCTAACCTGATATTTTGTCCGTTTCTCTCTCTCATTCTCACACACACAAACACACACACCTTCATGTCTGTATTGTGTGTCTATTGTCTGTATAGTTTGTATTTATTTGTGAAACATGTCTAACAACCCAAGGGTCTTTGATGATCCCAGTAAGGTCAGGGGCCATATGGCTGCTGAAATTAGTAATGCTCTTCTCCGTGAGGCCAAGGTGAGACAAATTTTGATCAACTTACTCCCATGTCTATGAAAATCACTATTGATATTGCACACAGTTTGTTTGTTGTAGTTGTTGTTGAAGTATGATGTTCTAGTCATGTATTGTGAATTGGTGTAGTGTGATATGTTTCTGACTGTTACTAACCTTTGAAAGTTGTGCACTATTCTTCTATTTTGTAACATGGTGTTTTTTTTTATTGTATGTTGCTTTGGAAAAAAAAACATCCACCACGTAATCATAACCATAAGGTAGACTGTTATTGTATTTGCAGAAAATTGCTATTTTTTTCTCATATAGGCTGCAATGGCAATGGAAAGCTCTGCCATTCCTCAAAAAAGAAAGAGGACTAGGAGAAAGAAATCGGTCACAAGCAGGCGTGAGAAACGTCAGAGAGCACAAAGCCCTGCATTGGGTTTGTTGTTTACTGCACTGTTGTCATAGTTCAATAATGATAATTCACTAAATGTTGGTGGGTGGAAAGATGGTGTGAGCCCACTTTGACAGATGTATGATGAAATTTTGTGAATTTTCTAGACTAAAATAGATGATAATGTAAGACCCTGATAGACTAGATAACCAAATGTGTTGGCCTCTGCAGCTTCTGAAGTTACAGGGAACCCAGTATGTGAGGAAGTCCCTCAGATTGAAGATCCAGAGTTGACTGCAAGTCTTGGTGAGTATGTCTGTATTATCCCTATCACTACATTTCCTATTCATCCACCTTCAAACTGGTGTATCACTTGATAAACCAACATTGAACGGTTAATGTAGTGTGTGGCATAGTCAAAGCCAAATTTTCAGTCATAATTATTGTCATAGTATTAAGTCATTTTATCTATTATGCCTTCGCTCAGTTGAAGGGTGGTGTAACAGTTATTTAGTTATTTTTTTGAGAGTTGGACTTGTAACCCAAAGGTTGCAGGTTCGAAGTCTTGTACCGGCAGGGATTGTAGGTGGGGTGAGTGAATATCCAGCGCTCTCTCCGCCCTCAATACCAGGACTGAGGTGCCCTTGAGCAAGGCACCGATCCCCCAACTGTTTCCCGGGCGCCGCAGCATTGGCTGCCCACTGCTCCGGGTGTGTGTTCACGGTGTGCGTGTTTGTTCACTACTCACTGCTGTGTGTGTGCACTTTCCAGGTATGGGTCACCATACTTGGCCACACGTCACGTCCTTTCCTTTCCTTTCCTTTTTTTCAGAAACACGTCTTCAAGAGTTGAAGGGTACTCTTACCTCAGTTGAGTATCCGGTGGCAACAGAAAAGACAGTGTGGGCACAACGACAGGTGTTTGCTGATGTAAGAGCAAAAACAGCTAGGCCAGTGCTCCTTGATGCCAAACTCTCAGCTGAAAGAGTCATCGAGCACATTTGCAACAAATGCCATGCTGGAGAGGCTGTCATTAGGTGCCTGGATTGTGTTCCACTGGACACGGAGTTTCTATGTGGAAGCTGTGACATAGCGGCCCACAAAAAGAATGTGTTTCATAACAGGAGGCAGCATTTCATGGCTACTTGGAGCCTATTCCCCCTACAAAGGCTGTGGTGTTAGATGACAATGGCCAGCCTCACTTTTGTGATCAGGGTATGTTCATTCAACAATTTTTGTTGACTAGTAAAGAGTAATTCCACAAATATTCTTTGTTGATAGACTTTGTCAATGGAAAAGGTTTAAACTCTTAACTTTAATCACTCTGACCGAAGAAATAGTTTTTGTTTGTTTTTGAGTGGGTTTGTGTTTAAAATGTGCTAAAACATTTTCTTTTTTGACAGAAAACAGTGATACTGACATTTCTATTTTGTCGATGTTGGGTTTGAATTACTAATATGACAAGCCTATAGATTAGGGTTGTGACGGTGAGGAAATTTTCCCACCGGTTAATCGACGTGTGACAACACCGGTATCACCGTGGGGGCGGGGCGGGGCAGGGGGGGGTCCCTCTTCCTAGCTTTC